TATCACGGCTTTCATATTCCCGTGTATTAACAAGTCTTTTTATTTCCGACCACAAGAAAAAATCCAGGGGCGTTAAGTCCGATCACTAAGCTCATTGTCCAGGTATGCACGCACTACACTCCGGCGAATAATAATTAAAACGTCCTTGACCTTGCGCATGAGTAGGCGCACGAAATTGTCCGTGGTCGAGAAGACGTTGGGTTGCAGCCAAGATGGTAGGTGTGGAGGGAATTTGAGGGCTTTCAATTCCACGTAGCCGTAGTGCATTTAAATGCTCCGGCTTGGGAATACAAACGCCGAGCCTCTTCCAAGTTGTAGTTGGCAGTAGCGTACAGCTGTACCATTGCCAAGAAGTATTCCACGTTTGAAAATTCGTACTGTCGACTCATTTTAGCGCTAATCAATGCAGCGTGCCGTCACGATGTTATGGTATTACTGACCGACTGACGATGACAGGTGAGCCCCGCGCATGCGCCTACGGGGCAGATGTCATTGGTTGGACGACTCCGGCGCAACTCGGTAGCTTTGTTTTTATTGGCGAATACGATTTGATGTGACTCGATATTAAAACGCATAGTATTTCTATTCGTAGTATTTACCTACGTGTGATTGAATATCCTACTACTACTGGTTCTGACTTTTTCTCTGTAAACGATATGAATATCGACTTTGATGATAAAAAAATATATATTTTATTAAATTAACGTTATATATAGCTTCTGTTACTGATAAATAACTCAAAATTTTCTTTTCCAAAACGCTTTCAAAATCACCGTGTATAATATGTAACTTAAAAAAACTAAAAACTTAACTAACTGTAATTCTTTTTTAAATGGAATTGTCGCTTAAAGATCTGGGATTTGATGATGTTAAAAGCATACTAAAATAGTGAAATGATGAAAACTTGAATAATGTCACACACACCTTCACTCACACCACACTCAACATACATACCCTCACTTACAGGGTCCCAAATATGCCACACAAACCCTCACATACATAGACACACACCCACACACAAATATATCTGACTAAACATGCTTAATTAAATTGTGACTACTATTATAATCATTTGTTCTTCTTATCTTGGAAAGGAACTGACTCCCAACACAACTCGCGCTAATTTTTGAATCGGGGCTGTACAATTTTTGTAATGCACTTATTGTTACAATGATTATATATTTATATATAATCATTGTAACACTTTTTTTGGTTTTTGGTTTTTGTAAACACTTATGTGTTTACAAAAACCTATCAAAAAGGAATCCGGTAAATGTTTTTTGTGATTACTGATGGCATTTATATTACGACAATTATATTAGAATTTTCATAGAATCATGAGGATTTCGCACAAAATTCTTTTTCGCAAATATTAGACAGTTGATTTATATTATTTTCTAGAAAATGAGGTTGACAGTGGTTCTGCTCTCATATATTCCTAGAGATAGACTGGAACGCACTTGTGACTCCTGAGTTACAGGCGTTACTTTTCATCAGGTGACCCATCTGCTAGTTTGCTCCTATATCATAAAAAATATATTTGGTCTTACCGTACACTAGAATAAAACTGCGAATATAAATAAACCTATTAATTATTACAAAAAAACACTTCAATCGTTAAGAACGGCCCCAAAATCTCAAACATTGATTTATCTCTTGCCAATAGAAGTTCACTGACTAAATGCGATGCTTATCCAAATATCTAAATAGAAAGAAGACTCTTTTACCGAATAGAGTAGAAGACTAATTCTTCCTGGGCTTTGCCTTTAAGCTTTTGTACGTGTCAACAGTAATTATTGTTGTAGAACGGCCATTAGTGCAAGGAAGTTATCTACAAATTAATATCCACTTATGATGTAAGCGATTAGCTTAAACTTCATCTGTCAGCAGTCGTCAGCTGCATTGCGACAATCACCGGTTAGATAATATTAATTTCTTTGTTTTATCTAACGATGTTCCGAGTTCAATGACTGTAAAAAGTAAGTAGGTTATGTTATTACAAAGGTATTTACGACAATGTAAGTTATAAGTAAATATCCTTCAATGAATTCAGTATGAGAGAGTTGAAAAGGTACGCTACACATAGGTTTTATAAATTTTGGATATTCCCGAATATGGATTCAGGACCATTATTTGCGTTAAAATTAAACAAAAAATAGCCAATTTGGATGTCATTAAGCTTAACATGAAAAGATCGAAATTTAACCCTTGACACAACGTTTTACCTGGAAACTGGTAATAAAACCCCATGACGAAACATAGTTTTAAACAGTGCGTATCCTTTGTTGGGAAGCGAAATATTTTTGGGTTACATAGACGACAAAAAGGCAAATATAAAACTTTATCACCATGTTTTCATTGCTGTGTACTTTGATTTACGTTGTTTTTGTATCCTCCCTGCTTACGACTTTTTTTTCAACTTCGATTTTTTACAGATTTTTCTGTTGAATATCACAGGGTACAGTGGGTACAGTTGATTTTTTTGGAACGAAGTTCCTTATCGCGCGTTGTGAAAGGGGGCTAGACGGAAAAAAATCTCACGAAAAGTTGTAACGACACTTTTTATTTTGAATTGTCACTTGTCAGTCATTCAGCGCCATCTATCGAATAGATAGGAAATCATTACTTTTCATCTCAGTAAAATTAAAATTTATGTTCTTAGGTTGAGCAAAAAATATTGTATTCGACATCATTTCTCAAGGAGATTTTACCAATCTATAAATGGTTTTAATTAGAAACCAACTGAAAAATATGTAGGTAATAGCCGCTTTCATAGATGGCGTTGTAATTAAAATCGTGTCGAATCAGTTTTACTCGATCGTCACAACTTCGTTCCTGTCGGGTGTCCCACGACACCACACGGCTTTTTATTTATAATTTCTCTTTCAGAAGTAGCTCATATGTTCAAAATTCATTTTTTTACACATTTGTGTTAGCGTCACAACAATTGATATGTGTACCAAAATGCAAATGCCTTTTCTCTAATTATTAATTAAACCCACCCAACCTTCATCGCATACTTCTTTAAACCAATCAATCAACCCATTAGCCTCTTATAGTCTACTACTGGAGATAGGGCTCTCCCAAAGTGCGCCATAGTACTTTTTAAATGCTCTGAACGAAACACAATAAAGTGTAGAAGATATAATATGTTTTCTCTTTCTTAAAATAAATGCAAAATTATTGCGTCAATCAATTTTACGATGCAGAGTCGGCTGTGCACAAAGCGAATCTTTCCAGTATGGTAGTCGCTCGGTGTAAATCAAAAGCGTGGTGCAAGCCCATTTATTGTATTGGTTCTTGGAGGAACTGGCAATTTTTTGATGAAATGAACAGGAAGCTGGAGGCTGATTCATTGGCGTATTGTATTCAAAGTATTACCTAAAAGAAGGATGGGTATACCTTTGGATTTTATAACACTAAGTAAATTTATTTATTCCATAGCTGCCAAAACTGTATGTTGGCGATGACAATTATTGTTATAATATTAAAAGAAAGAATTCCAAGTATCATAAACGGTATATCCATATATAGTGTTTAAAATCTTTTATATTTCTTGATTCATAGAAACATTTCTTAAGTAGTAGTTATGGCTTTTGGAAATGACTTGATGTTTCTGTAGTTATATCAAATTAGTTTTATTTTACCTATTGTAATCTATTGTAAAAGCTACATGCATCATATAGGTGATATATAAGTGTCGGTAATTCGTTTCCTGTAAGTACTCCATAATTTTAATTTTATTACAATTTAATTTAATTATTTTTTAATTACTCAACATCCATTCTCAGACCTACTATTTTGAAGTCGATAAGATATGACGTCACTTTCCAAATTCTGTCTTTATTATTGTAATCTTGTGTTCCGTACTGGTGAATTTCTATGAGCTATTCTATTTTAGTTTTATTACTGCAATAGAATTCGTTAAGAGCAATATATTTTTATAGTTTCTGATTGTTGAGATAATAACGGCGACATTACGCATTCATCAACATCAACAGACTAAAATAGTCCACTGCTGGACATAGGCCTCTCCTTAAGAAGAAAGGAGGTTTTGGCCCACTATACCACGCATATGTTACGCATGGAAATTATTAAAGGACTACTTAAATGATCTTATTATTTAAATTCTGATTTGTTTTTATCTACATTTCGATTTTTATATCTACGAGTAAACAGCATTTTTACGTTAGCGAATAAGTATTCGCTAACGTTTGGCAAGTGCCAAAAACGACATATTAATGCGAGATGCTAGTTTATTAATCTTTATCGGTAATGGATTCGGTCAATATACTGATAGATAGTCAAGCACTCCATACCAACACCTCCTAAAACCATAACTTGACTCATCTCCTACACGGTTGTTTGATCCCAAACTAGGTAGAGCCTGTACTATGGTAACCAGACTGCTGGTAAACATACTTATATATTTCTAAATACATACATATTATAGATAAATTACACCCAGACACAACAAATGATCGTGCTAATAACATCATTATTAGTCCTGGGCGGGAATCAAACCGATTACCTAAGCCTGGCCTGGCTTAGCAGTCAGGGTCACTTACCACTAGACCAGCAGGCATGTCATGAGCAAAAGCATGATGCACAATACGCTTAAGCTTCTTGATACGGCACACATAGTGAAGACATAGGTTTTTTGCCTTCAATTTTGTGTCAATATTTCTTTAATTCTTAAATTAAAGCGTGTAAATAGACTATAATGTAGAATTTACATTGCAAATGTTACAATCAAATCATGCAATAGTTCAAAAGTACTTTCAACCAAACCGTAACTTGGCAGTCATGAGTAGTTTGGACTGGTTAACAGTTTTGACTATGACACCGACCTCATGATAAATATTCTGGTTATATTTTTCAGTCATGAAAGGAATTTCTAAGCTTGTAGTTATCCTATTACAGTACAATTGTGTACAAATTTGATATAATCTTATTGATGGATATTGATGGAATCTATCTTGTTGCAGAGCCAAGCCACCATGTTCAACTTTATGAAAAAGACTGCTGTGTTGACGGGCGGTGACGTTGGCGGTGGGGAAGAGCGGGATGGAGAAAAAGAGAGGCGGAAACGTGAGAAGAAAGAAAGGAAAGAACGAGAGAAAAGGGAGAGGATAGCCGCCGGGCTAGAGGAGCCGCTTAGGCTAGAGGAGGTGAGATTCAACTTTACTTTACTTGTGGGTTTCCAGCCCCAAGAAATTTCTTTTATTGACATGTGTATCTGTATGTATTTATGTTTTAAGTAACTATACAACATTTGTATTTAGATACAGTCACTAATATTTCTTGATATACCTACTGCTTTATTTCAAAATTAGTTTACAGGTAATCAAAAAGTAGAAAGTTTTAATTTATATGGAAAATAAGAAAAAGATAAATTATGAACAACATAAGAAAACCTCTTAACAGAATTTTGATATAAATTAGGCAAATGTGCGCTTTCGCCCATTTATTACAGCTTGTGTAACGGTTTGACAAAAGTGTTTGCAAAACCGAATATCAATAGTTGTCACTACCGTTAGCAGTCTCAGGCCACACCCTATATCTTTCCTTGCAATCCTTGCTTTTACTTAAATATAGGATTTATACATATTTCTAAAATATAACTTGCTAAAAGGACAATAGCAGGTATTTATGGGACTTTTGTACCGCCTTGCGTATCTCATGGTAGGGATTATCGTTGTATTTATTTGGCGGGTAATATCATCAACAATAACGGCTATAATTAATACTATATACTTATATCTACTCTATACTTATATATCTATGTTCGTTTATGATTTTCTTGATCCTTCAATAAAACGTTACCCTGTCAAATCAGTTTAATAACTTTTTTTCTCATAATTTTCACGATTAATTTAGTCGATTTGAATAAAAGTTATTAGTACCTTCCCGTAATTAATTTATTAAAAAAAATCATTCCTTTATTAATTACTTCGTTCAATCTGTACAGTCAACATTCATCATCAGCCTCTCGTAGTCCACTGCTGGACATAGGCCTCTCCCATTGCACGCCACGTAGATCTATTTTGGGCTTCTCGCATCCAGCTCCTGCCAGCCATCTTTCGCAAATCGTCACTCCACCTGGCCTGTGGGCGTCCTACACTACGTTTGCCGAGACATGGTCTTCACTCAAGAACTCGTTTTCCCCAACGGTTGTCGGTTCTGCGGCTAATAAGGCCAGCCCACTGCCACTTCAGCTTGCTGATCCGGTAGGCTATGTCGGTGACCTTGGTTCTCTTCCGGATCACCTCATTCCTGATGCGATCCCTTAAAGAAACGCCGAGCATAGCCCTTTAGATAGCACGTTGAGCGACTTTGAACTTGTGGACCAGCGTACCGTAAGTATCCACGTTTCGGCTCCGTATGTCATGACGGGTAGGACGCACTCATTGAAGATTTCTCTTAAGGCACTGTGGGATCGACGATGAGAAGACTCGACGTAGCTTCCCAAACGCTGCCCAACCCAACTGAATTCTTCTGTTCACCTCGTCCTCGAAGTTGTTTGTACCTAACTGCTATGACTGCCCGAGGTACGCATAATTTTGAACAACTTCGAGAACGGCACCGTGTACCGCAATCGGTTCCGGTAGTACATGTTCATTGAACATAACCTTGGTTTTATCCAAGTTCACCCGTAGACCGATGCGTACAGAAGAGTCAGCTAGGTCATTCAGCATCTGCTGTAGGTCCTGCAGCATCTCTGCCATGGTGACGATGTCGTCTGCAAATCGCAAGTGAGAGATGTATTCGCCATTGATATTGATGCCACGCCCTTTCCAGTGCTGCGTCTTGAACATGTCCTTTATTGCATTTGTGAACAATTTCGGGGAAACAACGTCCCCTTGTCTCACTCCTCGATGCAACAGTCAACATTATGAATAAATAAATGTTTGTTTTTAACTGCTGTACATTACAGTCAGTACATTAATCAATATAGATGTAAACACATCGTTTTTTATATAATTTATATTTCATGCATATCAAGTTTAATAGGAAGAATAGGAATGCGTTTTGTTAACATTAATTGAACCTTTAGTTATTGCAGTTGTAACAATATTCTTTGAGAGGAATTGATTTACTTTTCGCAAAGTTCTAAAAATATGATAATTACATGAAAATAATTAGATGACTCTCTTTATAAACGGTACAATTCTCATAACCATCTATTATATATAACTAGGGATACAGGATCTGCAACTCTCCTTTACGAGTTCGTAAAACGACATATATGTTTCTCAACGAGGTTGTTAATTTTGATTTAAAAGAGAATTCGATAGTAACTTTTTTAATGTTATGTTAATTTTAATATCTAAAATATTATACACTTTCCTTTTCTTGTTCCACCCCAAGATAAATTAATGCTACGCCCCTGGACTGAATGTTTCATAAGTTTTTTTCCCGTACTAGCTGACCACTATGAATTCTGTGCGCTTTTTTGGCAGATTAGATAATGCTCCCAGATTACATGTTACAACCAATCAATCATCAGCCAATATAACTGTTTTCTTTATTAGTTAACTGTCAGTGCGAATTACAAGTTCACCAAGTTTACCGAGTTTAGATAGAAAAGTTTTGGTGCAACCATTCGTTTCTATTCCTAAAATATAAAGAATTTGAACACCGGCACCGTAGTTACGATAATGAAATTCTCAATATGCAATATATAAACGGTAAATATATAATATATGAATATTAAAAGATGTAATTTCACATTCTCTAGTAGCCACGCCTATCATAAATTTCGTACAACTGGTTTAATGTCTATTTAAATTCATGTTATGACAAACGATAGTAAAATGTCTGTAATTAATAAATCAATCTTATTTATTATACCACACAGGTGGTTTTTTACAACAAAGAAGACATGATCGAGGCATACCTAGATGTCTTGTGCTCATGTTTTTTTTAATAAACCTTGTTTTTAACCAAAAAATTCGTTAAAAATTGTCTGTCTGTTAAAATTTGGCCTAAACTTTATAACCATCCGTTTACAATTAGCTTAAAAACAGTACAAAGGATATAAATGTCAGATGGTTAAATTGCTACGAAAAAAGACGTGGATCTTCTGTCGGATTTACTGATCGGTCTTACAAGACATTCTTCCATAATACAAACTAGCTTATGTCTATCTTAATAGTATAATATCATCGGTCCCTGAACGACAAACTAACGAACACAATTTCTAAGTTATAATAACCCTTACTTAATCTATCCCATTGTTTAGGATTAAGATATAAATATTAATCTTAATGTGCTCGTCAGTTGTGCTTTCGCGCTTCATCCGTCGCGTTATAACTACCTGAAGTTGATTGGCAGTTAGCAATTACGTGAAAGTTTCTGACATAGTATGTCATTCTGAAATAGGTGTTCTTCGAATCGTAAAATTGAAAGAGCTGTTAGTGTGAGAAATGTAATGTTACCTTCTTAATAAAGTCACTCTCTCTAAAACATTTTTTTTTTTTATTGTAAACGAATTCGCATTGCTTTCAGATTTTATCAGTAGTTGTAGTAGTCCTTTTAAACACAGTTAATTTTATTTTTATTTAACGCTTTATGAACAAAAATTTTACAAAGGTTGGACTTAATGCCGTAGGCATTCTCTGGCAGTCTACCTTGTGGTGGTGTAGAGATGAGTGAGGTGCACTAAACTTGAATAAAAAGTTACAATAACAATAACAAGACGTAACTAAGAAATACATTTATACGAAAAGATAAGCGAAAAAACGCGAATAGACAAAGGGATAAATATATATATTTAGCTTACTACAAACAAATCAACTTTACTATCTATTTTATTTGCTCTAGATACATTACTACTTTCTGTTCTACGATAATAATTCTTTTTAAGGAGAATCTTTGAAATTCCGGGAAGGCTGGTAACCCTGCTGAGGATACAGGGCTAGTCTACTTTGTTTTTGAATGCCTACTTTATTATTTACTACTTTTGTTTATATAAGGCGTAACTTAGGGTACTACACCACTAAGGCAGCGCTTTTAAAATTCAACTCGAACGAAGTCACGGGTACTAGCTAGTAAAAAATAAGTGCTTACAATTTTACTAATATTATTTCTCTACTAAGTGATCCACAAGTGAGGATAAACAATGAAAGTGACAAAGTATCAGTTAAGTTGTCGAATCAACTCAACATTTTATTTCAATAAGATAAACCAGACTTACCGGTTTCATCGAGTTTTTGTTGAACAGTTACCGTATCTTAACCTGATTTTAATTGGGGTAAATGATTTGTGAAATTTATCAGTTTAGGTCAATGTAACTCTTGTAAACAATGTTATCTGAGGTCATTTCATATGAATGAATGAAATAATTGTTCGTTGTTTTTATTGTTTTCTTTTACAACTTGAGACATCTCACACACAACGGTCTGATTCTAATCTATGCAGAGTCTGTAGTATGGTAGCTAGCCTGCTGATATAATTATATACTTATAAATATATCTCTAAATACATACATAAATAAATTACACCTGAACACAGAACAAATGATCGTGCTCATCTATTTGTCCTGCTTGGGAATCAAACCTACGACCTCTGGCTGGAGCATTTTATAAGTCTATAAAGAAATTTCGTTGGTACGGTTACTCTACTACTCCTAAGAGTCGCAGCGTAATTTTACAAAGTTTACCTAGTAACCTAAAGATTGTCAATAACATCCAGCAATAAACACAAAATAACGTTGAATTAAGAGTTGCCTCCTTTTTATTAGTCGTTTAGAGATCAGAAAAAAACTATTGAGACTTTTACCAGCAAGGTCGACTGCGAGAGAAAAGGTAAGAACAGAAAAAAAAGTTTTAGGAAAAGTTTTAATAGAGTTTGACAACAACATACTTACTTACTCGTAGTATTTAATACTGTATCCCGATTTCGTCTTATTTATACTTCTAACTATTTTATCTCCGTCGTAGAATCTTGAATATCATCCTTTTCATGTTTAGGTGCCTATGTACGCTCGAAAACATAGTTGCAGCCATGGTGCGGAGCGTGAGTGCGTGGAACTCTGCTGTCTCCTTCTGCGAGCAAGTTAAGCTTGCGAAGGAGATGGCGCAGCGGGACCGGGAGAGGTTAAGAACTCTTCCGGTCCGCTAGGCTCGGGAACGGGCCAGGTACCGCAGACGATGATTTCGGCACAGAA